TGTTAATTGATTATTTTCTGGTTATGGGTCATATTTTCCTGCTTTTTTTTTTTACATGCCTAGAAAATTATTTGGATGATATGCACTGTAGCTTTTACACTTTTGGTGGCTGGATTTTGTTTTATTCCTTTAAAGAGTATTGGATTTTGTTCTGGCATGCAGTAAGTTAGTTGGAATCAGATGAATCTTTTCAAGACTTACACTTAAGCTCTTTAGGATGGGTACAGAACATCCTTTCATGGCTAATTTAGCCCCACTACTAAGACAATAGCCTTCTGAGTACCAGACACTGCAGATTTTACAAGATCTTTCCACTCAGGCAGGTGGGAACACAAACTATTCCCAGCCCTGTGTGATCGCTGGGAATTGTTCTGCCTGCTTCTTTCTGGTGGTTCTTTCCTAGGCCTTTGGTGGTTTCCTCTTACACAGTCACAGATAAGTACACATGCACAGGGGTACCCTCTGCAGATCTCCATAGCTCACTTGCTCTGTGTGTGTGTGTGTGTGTGTGTGTGTGTGTATGTGTGTGTGTGTGTAGCTCCCTCTTCTCTGACACTGTGACGAACAAATCCTAGCTAACTTGGCTCCTTGAATTTCAATTTCTACCTCCTCCATTCAGTAAGACCATCAGGCTCCATTTGCGTTCCTCTTTCTGCACTACATCCCAGAAACTGCTTCCAGGCAGTAAACTGGTACATAGGACTCATCTTGTTTGTTTCTCTTCTCTCAAGGATCATGGTCTTGTGCTGCATGTTGTGTCCAATGTTTGAAAACCATTGTTTCAAATACATTTTGTCTAATTAAATTGTTGTTTAAAGCAGGAGGGTAAATACGGTCCCTGTCACTCCATCTTGGCCTGAGGAGGAAATCCATTTATTTTGAATTTTTACATTTTTTTCTCTTTTTCATCTTCTATTTCTCTTAAAACATTATCTGTTGAGATTATTTGCTTTTGTAGCCTTTCCAGGTCAGACTTTTTTCTAAAAAGATATTTTTATTTTATTCCTAATTATTTCTGTCTCCTTATTTCTGAATTTTTTACTGCTAGTGCATTCTATGCTATTTTATTTAGTATACACAACAACTCTATGAAGTAGGTGCTATTATTCTTTTTTTTTTCCCAAAAGAGAAAAATGATGGGAGTAACTTTCTCAAGATCTCCCAATTTACATGTGGTGGGACCAGGTTTCAAATCCAGGCTTTGGGGGCTTTAATAGTCCATGTTCTTAACCGTTATGCATTACTGATCCTCTGAGAGGAAATATCCATGAAAATCTACAATCGGGACTGGGTGTCCAGAGAAGACATGAGTCTATACCACCCCTACAAAGCCTGCCCTTTCCATTCCCCAACACTTTTTCCCTGTTTTGGCCCTCTATCAAACCTGTCCAAGGAAAAAAGCTTACGTGACTCAAATAGAGGTTAAAGGCTTTATTCAGCTGATGCACACCAAGGTGACTCTCTAGTCAAAGCAGGATTGGAGTTTTTATACGTGTCATTTGCTTTGCCTCAGGTAGCAGATGTTCTCTTAATTGCTGCAAAACCTGTGGTTGGAATGGTTGGAGATTGATTCCATTTTTCATGCTTCTTACTCAGGATCATTGGTGCAATCTCATCCCAATAATTGTCAGAACAGTTCTTTCAAGGGTGGTTTTTGAAAGCGTCATGAGTTGTCACTTAGTTAAGATTCATGAGCAGGGTAGGTAGCAAAAAATGGGATAAAGGAAAAAAATGATAAGAGAAGAGTCAAAGGCAAGGAAAAATAGGGATCCTCTATCATATCTGTTTAATCCTTTTATAGTCTCTTCTTTTGGCCAAAATGAACTCTTTTTATCACCAGTCAAATCTGTTGGGAGAGAAAACAAAATTACAGAGATGTGTAAATTCTTGGAACCATGTCAAGAAGCCTGTTAGTGGGTTGGAGATGCAGTTTGTTCTTTGGAATTTTGTTCTTTAATTATAGCTTAGATCATCTGTTTCGTCAGGACAATATTGCTGGTCTTGATTAGACATGATAGGGCACACTTACTGAGTAGTATTCCTATCAGGAGAAAAAGAAAAAGGAGTACTAACCTTTGGAGAAAAGTGTGCACCCAGGACCAGAATCTTGTTGGTAATATCCAAGAAAAGCCACCAGAAGCAAATCCATAGGTCCCAGAGGTCAGACTATACTGTTCACTCAACAAATGTTTTGGTTGCCTACACAGATGCACTGACACACCAAAAAATTTTAAAAATCAGAGAGGTTTTGGGACATGTGCATGTGGCAATGATCATCGACAACTGTACATGTGGCTCGTCACGTGGCAGGATGATGTCTAATGCCAGTTGATGGTGGACAACAGCTTTCTGGAGTTCCTAGAATTGTCAAGTGATTGTGACAATATTTTTAGTAACATTGTTAGTAAAAAGAGTGCTTGTGTCACTAGAAAGGTAAATAGTGTTTCCCAAGTAGGAAAGACAAACTATAACCATTTTTCAGCCACAGGAAGAGCTGTTGCCTTCTGGCAAGGAACGGTGTCTGGTCATTCACAGAAAAGGCAGACAATAATAAGTACATATGCAAATCCTTGAGATTTAGGGAGTTGTATGAAGGGTCCCCAAGACAGTGGTTCCTTTTTGTGTCCCACCTTTACAGTTTTCTAGGGTTATGAAACTGGCAGGTGAGACATATACTGGAGCTATCCTCGTTATCCAATTAAAACTTCCCACCAATGTTGTCTTAATAGTTTTTAAGTTTTCTTTACTGTGACGGGTCAAATTTTTCACCAAGCCCCGTTTCAGACAGTCCAGAAATACCAGGTAGCCTTCTTAGGGTCTCCATAATCTGATTGAAGTAAACACCTAGATTTCTCTCAATATATGTTTTTTCAGAATCTGGTGCTTGTAATTGCAGCTTGCTCAAGGTTCCAGAGAAGTTTTAAAAAAAAATTTTTAGGCAAACTAATGGCTCTCATACAGATATAAAAATGAATACGTGTTGAAGATTTTAACTTATAACGAGAGAATGAGGCAGATTTTATAACTAGTTCAAAGCACAAATGTATGTATGGAGTAAAGGAATATTGATATAAATTTACAAATAGACAGAAACTGGCTCTTTTTTTCCCGTGGGTCAGGGGAAGGGAGGGAGTCAATTGATCCTCTATGGAACAGGATATGCTTGCAGATATATAGACAATAATTATTTTTGCATTACTGTCATTTATCAAGAGCTCGTAGAGTTGTAAAATAACTGCCACATAATCAGAATCAGATAACTCTGAAGGTTGTGCTCTATCTAGTCCAGAGACTATTGACACTATTGGCAATTATTGACATTTTGGCACTATTGACATTTTGGGCTGGCTAATTCTTTGTTGTGTGTGTCCTGTGCAATACAGGATATTTAGCAGAATCTTTGGCCTCCATCCACTAATTGCCAGTAGCACGCCACACCAGTTGTGACAACTAAAAATGTCTCCAGATATTTCATTGCCAAACATCCCTTAGGAGCAAAATCTCCCCAGTTGAGAGCCACTGTGCCAGAAAATACATAGTTTTCCATTGAAGCACAAACTTTCCCTGATAGTCTCCCCCGTATTGGCCAAAACATAATCTCGAAGAAAGCTTGTTCCTAATCACAAAACAAGCCTTGTCTAAACCTACAACAGAAAGGAGGAAATAATCAAGATTTAATTACAAATTAATGAAATAATAGTCATGACACCAAAGTGTCTGAAGAAAACAGTTTGACACAAATAGAGGTTACAGGCTTTACTCAGCTGATGGACATCAGGGAGCACCTGAAGACCCAAGTCAGAGCAGGCTTGGAGTTTTTATAGAACAAAGAGAAGTGAGGGGTACAAGTCCTCGTTTGGCTCAAGTAACAGATTTTCTCTTTAACTGCTGCAAAACTTGTAGTTTGTCAGTTAGTCAAAATTCTGGGGCAGAAAAGGTAATGATATGGATGGGTTGTTTTGCCAGGGGCTGGAGAAGGGGAGAATGGGGAGTTATTGTTTAATGAGTACAGAGTTTCAGTTTTACAAGATGAAGAGAGTTATGCGGATGGATGGTGGCAGTGGTCGCAAAATAATGTGAATGTGAGCCAGCCCTGATGGCCTAGTGGTTAAAGTTTGTTGCACTCTGCTTGGCAGTGGGACCAGTTCCCAGGCACAAAACCACACCACTCTGTCAGTAGCCGTGCTGTGGCGGCAGCTCACCTAGAAGAACTGGAAGGATTTATAACTAGAATATACGACTATGTACTAGGGCTTTGGGGAGGAAAATATAAATAAATTCTTAGCTCTAGATTAAAAACAAATGTGAATATATTTAATACCACCAAACTATACATTTAAAAATGATTAAGATGGTAAATTTTATGTTATGTGTATTTTACCATAATTTAAAAAAAAAGAAAACGTTAAGTACAGCCACTGTCTTGATGATAGGCCTTGGCAAAAACAAAACAAAACAAAAATAAAATTATGAAGAAAGTGATGGAATGTTATCCAAAAAAACCAATACGGATGAACCTTGAAAACATTATTCTAAGTGCAAAAAGCCAGACACAAAAGCCGACATATTATGTGATTCCATTGGCATAAGATATCCAGAGTAGGCAGATCTGTAGAGGAGGACAAATTGGTGGTTGCCCAGGGATGGGGGGAGGGAGAAATGAGAATGCTTAATGGGGACAGGGTTTCTGTTTCGGATGATTAAAAATTTCTGGAACTAGATGGTGACGATGGCCACACAACATTGTGAATGTACTTAATGTGCCCGAACTGTACACTTTAAAATGCTTAAACTGGTAAATTTTATCTTATTTGTATTTTACCACAGTTTTCAAAAAGGGAGAGGAAGAAAAAAAGAGAAAAGAAGCCAAGGTCAAAGTCAAAGGAAACTGAGGACCATCTACCACATCTGTTTTAATCCTTTTACAGACCTTTTAAGTCTAGAACCTACCTCTTCTTGGGACTGACGCTGTCTCCATTCTTCTTTCTTTTTTGTGTCAGGTGGCACCCAAAAATGCTGGAATCTTCGTGGCAGGTGTCGCCACAAATGCTCCAAGAAGGAAAGGATCTACGTTTACTGCACAAATAATAAAATGTGCTGTGTGAAGCCCAAGTACCAGCCAAGAGAAAAGCCGTGGTCACTTCGAGGTCCTTGAAGCCTAAAGCCATGAAAATGCAGATGAAGCTGCCCTGAGTCTCATCCAGGTGGATGCTTGAGCTCTATCAATAAACACCTTTGGCTGATCCCTGTGTTTGCCTGTTAGCCTACCCCAGCACTTCCCAAGAGGTCCGTGAAGTCAAAACTCTTTTCATAATAATAATAAGACATTATTTGCCTTTTTCGATCTCACTCTGTCACAACTGTGCAATGGAATTTTCTGGAATCTATATGACGTATGAGGATATCGTTGTTTTTGCAGCTAATGAAGGGTGTACTTATGTATCCTTATGTTTCTAGAATTTTTTGAGGTATCAGTGTGTTAATTTTCAGAGATTAACCCAGGTTGTTCTCAGTAATTCAACTATGCTTTTACTAACTCTCTTTAGTTATATTATTAATCTCTGTAACCTCATTATATCTAATAAATTATCACTTTGAAATTCCAAAATTTTCCTCATACCTGTGTGGAAACACAACAAGAACTAAGGATGTCTTGTTGTCTTGGTTTGTAGAGGTATATTAACAACGAGCACCAACTGGCTAACAAAGGAAAGGATATGCTCTCCCTAAATGAAAATAATACTTATTCTAGTCTCTACAGTTCTTTTAAATACAATTTCTGGCACATAATTAAAAAAATTAAAAGACATGCACAGAAGAAGGAAAATATGACTCATAGTCAGGTATAAAAATAGTCAATAGAAGCAGACCCAAAGATGGCACAGTTGTTGGAATTAACAGACAACTTTAAAATAACTATTATAAAAATGTTAAAGAAATTAGAGGAAAAGACTGATTGAAAGGATGAATAATTTAAACTAATACACAGAAAAAATAGTGTATTAGTTTTCTATTGCTGTATAACAAACCACTCCAAACTTAGCAGATTAAAATAACAACTATTTATTATTTCTTAGAGTTGTGTGTGCTAATTGAGTGGTTCTTCTGATAGTCTCACCTGGGGTCACTCATATGACTACATCTCTTTCCACGTGGCCTCTCCATTTCAAGGAAGTTAACCTTGGCTTCTTACATGATGGCTAGGTGTAAAAGGGTAAGCCCCAATATGCAGCATTTATAAAACTTCCATTATTATGTTTTCTCAAGCCCCATTGGCCTAAGCAAGTCGCATGACCCAGCAAGTCGCATGGCCCAGGGTCAATATGGAAAAGGACTACACAAGGGCATGAATACTGAAGGAACGATTCACTGGGGATCACCAATGTGTCAGTCTACCACAAGTGGAATCTCTAAGAATAAACTGGCCATTCTAAATTTAAAAATACAAAATCTAAAATTAAGAATTTATTGAATGGGTTTAACAATAGACTGAGCATAGTAGAAGAAAGAATCCATAAACTCAAAGATAGATCAATAATAAGTATAATCAAAGCACAGAGAGAGAAAGAAAGAATGCAGAACAAACAGAACAGAGCATGAGAGACTTATGGAACAATATCAAATGGTCTAACATATATGTAATTGGAGTTTCAGAAGGAGAAGAGAGAGGGAAATGGGGAAAAAGAAATATCTTTAAGATATAATGGCTGAAAACTTTCCAAAGTTGTTGAAAGACATCAATCCACAGACTCAAGAAGCTTAGTGATCTCCAAGCAGGATGGAGACAAAGAAAACCAAATCTAAGCATAGCATAGCCAAACTGTTAACAGCCAAAAGAAAAAGTACTTCCCAATACCTGTGAACATTTCAAACAAAACATGTTCAAGAATTTTGCAAAGAAAATTAGAAGCTCTTATTGAAAGACAATATAGAAAGCCTAAATTAATAGAAAGATATACTATCTTCATAAATTAGAAGACTCAATACCTTAAAGATGTCAATTCTACACTGTTTCCTAGATTAAATGAAATTCCAATCAAAATCCTAACAGAATTTTCTCCAGAACTTGTTCAAAATTATGCACACATAAATATTTTGTTAGGGACATAGACATAGATGACAAAACTATCAATATAGTACAAATTTAAGATAATTGTTATTGTTTTTTATACTGTTATACGTTTTTAAAATATTCTTTTCCCTTCTCAATATATAATAAAAATCAAGCTTTTTGAAAAAGAGATAAAAGCTATGAATATATTAAGTGCTTTAAGAATTGTAAGGCCAGAAAAAATGAAAAAGCTAAATCAGTCATACAGGCCTAGAAAAGAAAATATTTGAAAATTATATGTCCTATGAAGGATTTTTTTGGGAATATGTAAAGAACTCTCAAAACTCAATAAAAAGAAAACAAACAATCCAGTAACAAAATGAGCAAAAGATCTGAACCGACACTTCACCAAAAAAGATACACGTGTGGGAGATAAGCACGTGAACATCAATAGATATTAGAAAAATGCAAATTAAAATCAAAATAAAATACTACTACACACATATTGGATTGTCTAAAATTAAAACAATTGGGCCGGCCCTGTGGCTTGGTGGTTAAGTGCGCGCGCTGCGATGCTGGTGGCCCGGGTTTGGATCCCGGGTGTGCATCAAGGCACCACTTCTCCGTCCATCCTGAGGCCGAGTCCCACATACAGCGACTAGAAGGATGTGCAGCTATGACATACAGCTATCTACTGGGGCTTTGGGGGGAAAAAAATAAAAAAATAAATAAAATCTTAAAATTAAAACAATTGACCATACAATTGTTGACAAGGAACAAGTGTTGCAACTAGAACTCTCATACACTGCTGGTGGGAATGTAAAATAGTACAACTTTTTTGGAAACAATTGGGCAGTTTCTTAAAAGTTTAATGTACCATATGATCCAACCATTCCACACCTACGTATTTAGCCAGGAGAAATGAAAACATGTCCACACAAAGACTGGTATGTAAATGTTTACAGCAGCTTTGTTTGTAGCAGCCAAAAACTGGAAACAATCCAAATGTCCATCAACAGGTGAACGGAGGGGCCGGCCCAGTGACGTAGCAGTTAAGTTCACGCATGCTGCTTCGGCGGCCTGGGGTACGCCAGTTCAGATCCTGGGTGCAGACCTACTCACCGCTCATCAAGCCATGCTGAGGTGGCAACCCATATAGAAGAGCTACAACTCTACAACTATGATACACAACTAGGTACTGGGGCTTTGGGGAGAAAAAGGAGGAAGATTGGCAACAGATGTTGGTGTAGGGCCAATCTTTCTCAAAAAAAAAAAAAAAGAATTTCTGGGGAAAAAAAACAGGTGAATGCATAAACAAATTGCAGTATATCCATACAATGGAATACTACTCAGCAGTAAAAAGCAGTGAACTATTGATACTCATAACAACATGGATGATTCTCCAAATAATTATGCTGAGTGAAAAAAACAAACAAGAAAGAATATATATTGCATGATTCCATTTGTAAGAAAATCTGGAAAATGTGAACTAAACTGTAGTAAGAGTATATCAGTACTAGAAGAGAGTGAGCAGAGGAGAAACAGAGAGAGGTATTAGGAAGAGATTACAAAGAGGCACAGGAAACTTTTTGGGGTGATGGATACGTTCATTATCTTGATTTTGATAATAGTTTCATAGGTAGACACATATGACAAAACTTATCAAATTGCACAGTTCAAGTTAGTGCAGTCTACTGTATGTAAATTGTACTTCAATAAAGCTATTAAATAAATAAATAGCCCAAGATGTGGAAAACTATGTTTTTTTAGGAGGAAAAAAAAGCTAAAGGAAAATAGAAATTAAAGGAAAGAGATAGAGTAACTGAATGGTATGCGATGAAACCAAAGAGGTGAACAAGAGCTAGATCTTGGAGGACCTCCCAAGTTAAAGAATTCTTTTGCAAATGGAGATACAAATGGCAGATAACCCATTTCCAGAAGTGGAGAGGCAGCAGAGCAATCCCCAAATCCTCAGTGTTTTCCCAGCCCAATCTCCCCTGATATCTTTTGCCCATTTCGTTATGGGACGACATCCAACTGGAAGACTCCTGGAGTCACTGCTGATATCCTAGAAAGTTCATCTAGTCCTTCCCTCTCATCCCCACCTCCCCCTAATCCAGGATCCTCACCATCAATATTTAAACTGGAGCCACACTGCCTCCAGGTGGATCTATGCGCCACAAAGACAAATTTGGACCTCACAGGAAGAACCAGAACTCCAGCCTGCTAGCTGCACAAGCACTCCTCAGTCATTTCATTAACTCTACAATAATGAGACCCATACTCTACCTGTTGACTTTTGTGGAACCCCACTTGTAACATTATAGCCTAGTTTACTGCATACCCACTCTTCAACCATTTCTCATGAGCACTTCCATTGCTCCTACCTTGGTCCAAACTACCATCATCTCTAACCTGGATTATTACAGTAGCCTCCAGCTGATTCCCCTCCCCCTGTCTATATCCACTTTCAGTCTATTCTCAATAGAGCAACCAGAGTGATTCTGGCTCTCCTTTCCTCAAAACCCTCCTGTGACTTCCCATCTCACACAGAATAAAGGCAAAGTCCTTACAATAGCCTACAAGGCCTCCCACCATCTGGACTCCATTATTTCTCTGACCTCATCTCCAACTGCTCCTCCCCTGGTTCAGTCCACTCGAGCCACGCTGGCCTCCTTGCTATTCCTCAGACACACCAGGCATAGTCCCAACTCATGGCCTTTGCAATTGCTGTTCCCTCTGCCTGGAGCTCTCATCCTCCAATCATCTGCATGACTCACTCTCTAATAGCCTTTAGGTCTTTGTTCAAATATCAACTTCTCACGGAAGCCTTCTCTAAGTACCTTATTTTAAATTTTTCTTTAAAAATTGCTCTCCCTTACTTCCTTTTCTGCTTGCATTTCTCTGTAGCATTTATCAGCAGCTACTCTGTTTTTTTCTTTATTGTATTTATTGTCTCACCCCTGCCATGAGAATGTATTAAAGGTACACTGAATACACATTCTGGCTACTTGTCAAAGAGCTGAGCATTAAAATCAATATTTGACTAAAGACAGAGTGCAGTCAGGAGAACAAAAACATAACAGGTATCTCAAAAAAGGGGTTTAATACAGGAAATTGGTCACACATTTGTTGGAACTCTTAAAAAGACCAAACATGAAGTTGAGTTAATCCAATATTAGTAACTACAGG